ACAGAATGAGTTAATTGCATGAGTATTCTGAATTTGGTTAAGAAGATATTAACATCTCACCCTTTGTATTCCTATAAGGATCACCTGTGGAAGATGTTGGTTTAGAAGATATGGGAATACAAAGAGTGAGATGTTAATAAGAGTCACCTGTGGAAGATAGCGATGTGAGGAAATAGAGGGACCTGTAGAAGGTCAGGAAGGTTGCTGAAATACCCTGGACCGAGAAGGGGCTGCAGGGCTGTCTCTGCTCCTCTGTCTCCCCACACTCTGATATTTCGGCAGTGTGTGGACAGTGCATGCTCACGTACTCTGAGAATGTAAGCTTGGTCTGATGCTCAATAAGATGGCTTTTGGTCCTAAACCTTAAGCCCCTTGTCCTTCAATGCTCTCACAAGCACCAAGCTGTTAGTCTAGAGCAAAGCAGAGATTTTCTGAGTCAAGTTTTGGGAACTAAAGGCCAGTCACTGCATTAGTTTAACCACCTGGGGCCTATACAAGAAATCCCGTGACAAGGACACGGGCAGAGGGACAAGGACATGCATCTGCCAGGGGAAGTCCCTGAGAGCTGGAGCTCTCTTTGGTACCCACAGGCCTACAGGCTTTGCTGTGGCCCAGTCAGGGATAATAAACCACATTTTCTTGCAGATTGCTCAGAGTTATAAAACCCCCTGCAGAACTATTCAGTGACTGACAGCAATGAATGCAGGGAATAAACGATAGGAAGCTGCAGCTTTGGTTTCTAGTGTCGGAAGAACATGAAAAGGGAGAATTATGTGACCGTTTAACCTTAATGCTGCAAAGCTGTCTGTGCTGCCTGGGGAGACCTGCTTGGTTACCAGCAATTCTATACCCAGGCTTTTGGCAGGCTATTGCAAGAAGTTTCTCCTTAAACCAGAAAGATTTCTCTAGTGTAGAAGGTCCTGTGTTTTGCCCAGTGACACCACACAGCGACTACACAGCAAAGTGCATTTTTGCAGTCAGTTGTTAAAGGGCAGAACTACCCCCGAAAGCGGGAAGAACATTTCTCAGGGAACAGCTATCCTGATTTCGACCTCTCCTCACAGTTTGCTAGGGACAACGGCAAAATACCTTCAAATATAAGGATGGGAACTAAAGTCTTAACACTGCTCTGTATTAAAAATCACGGACTCAGCAGAGGATTTTAAGGCATGCCTTAAAAGGCTCAGAAATAAATTTGGCAGCCTTGAGAGCCCCAGGACAAGAAATGGGTGACTGCAGACAGCTCTCTGTATGCACTAAAGGGATGGACTTCCAAAGAGCCTTTTGCAGGCTGTTCCAGCTGCCTACAGGTGGGTTTGGAAGGAGATAGGACAGGGGAAAAGGTGGAAAACATGAGTCCAGCACTGATGGGCAGGAGCTCTAACCATGCATTTCAACTTGCCTGTTGTGAACCTCACCATCCGAAACGTCATTTCCATTTCATGCGACTCAGCAGTTGGCATTGGCTATAGTCTGGCTCACCCTAGTGGTCTGAAGCTTAATGAGATGTCTGTAATACCCAGTAATTGCTTTGGGTGATTTTAGTATTGAAGAAAAGTCATCCAATCACTTTTGAGCAGTTAAATTAAAAGCAAACTGGATTTTGCTAACTATGCTCTGCTTCCAGGTGATAAATGTTTTTTAGAAATTCTCATAAAACCTCCCCTCTCTGCAGCATTGAATATAATTTGGATTTTTATGGCATTCTTTCTAGTTCCTCAAATAATGCCACCTGCATAAAATTCTCCTCCTGGATGGAAAATTGATATAAAGCTGAATTGTTGTGAAAGGAAGGAGCATGATCTAATACTTCCAACTCTTATTACCTTGTCAATGTATTCCTAACAGGCTGAGAGTTAATAATTAATAAATGCTGTAAATTACTTGGAAACTTCAAGCTCGCACCTGCCCTTCCCACTTGCCAGCCAGTGCTAGGGATCGTGGTCATGTTTAAGACACGTGCCCAGATGTCTCCGTGGTCCAGGGGACGATTGGGGACCGGTGCCATAGGAGGCCTCCAGGAGCCAGCGCTGCCATCCCTGGCAACCCGCACCATGTGCCGGGGGGGGGGAGGGGAGAGGG